TCCTCTGATTAGCTTCTACTGGTTCTTAATACCGGTAATGCGTCTATGTAGTTATTTTTATTAGTTTAGTTTCTTTTTGTTTAGTTTAGTTTCTTTTTGTTCAGTTTACAATAGTATACTTATAACTTTTAGTATTATTTATTTTTATTTATAAATTTCCTTAATTGTGACAGTTTGTAATTTCTCTCAATAAATATGTGTATAAAAATATATATATATTCTTTTTGATATTGAGTATAATAGAAAAGATGACTAGCAGAAAATTTTATAACAATGTTTCCTGACACAGCTTCTGCAAATGTATAAATAATTTATTTCACATAAAATCTCATTGATTGTAAATGATTTATTTTAAATTTTCAGATTTTTTATTTATTTATTTTTATTTTCATTTGATAAATAATATAACATTCTTTCACTTGGACATTTCAAAATCATAAATAAAATATAAAAATAGGTAAGGGTAATAAAAAAGTAAAAAAAAAAAACGGTTATTGAATTAAAATATATTCAGTAGTAAGTAGCAATAGCGGTAAGTTTGATGGGGAATCGCAAATAAACATATTATCCAAATTATGGAGTATCGGATTTAACCCAAACCAAGGTTAAGCCTATACGTAGATGTGTGGGTATGAAACTTGGTTGTAACCAGAGGCAGAATCTTCCTTATTCAAAGAGCGGCTAGCCTTGGAGGAAGCATCAGATTTGGCGCGTTGGTCATAGCCAGATTCAGCGTAGGCACCACCACCATAATAACCGTAAACGGGGTAACCCGAAGCGTATTTGGAGTATCCCTTATTGGCGGATTCTTGGGACCGTGCGTTTTCTGCGATTTCGGCAGCATTCAGCCTAGATTGAGTTTCATAGCCGCTGCTGGTTGCGGCTGAAAATAAAATAATATATAGATTTTTTTTTTGTTGAAATTATATAAGATCTTGAATGAATTTATGAGTTATATAGAGTTGAATAAAATATAAATATACTCTGCAGAATACTTACCGATTGGGGCGTAGCGTCCTTGGTAGAGATGAATCTGGGCTGCGAGGCCGCAACCTGCCAAGAGGACAACAAGTGCAATGGAGTATAAGTGCATCGCTACTGATCTGGTTCAGCCTCCGGCCGTGCAACTTCTTATAGTAGACCTATTGTTTGCTCAGCTGGTTCGCCTCAGATGTTAGCTTTGCTGTGGAAGCTAAAAATATGTTCAGAGTACTTAGGAACCGTCAATTGGTTTTTATCTGCTACGTAATACTACAGCTGTTCCTATTCTGACTAGAAGTTGGAAGTAGGAATGTAGGAATACTGTTGCATTTCTGTTGTAATTTTCTAATTAACAATCGACATTTACCATTGATTAATGTCGACCGTATTATTAGCAGTACCAATGATGAGATTACCGGAATATTCTCAATTAAGCAGGTTATGTTTACCATTTCGTTAAGTGTTTCCTTATTTCAGCTCATAAAATTATATAATACACAAATTAAAAGATACAATAGTACATTATTTGAATATTAAAGAGAAGAATAGTCGGGGTGGTCAGTCAAAAAAGAAGGCAAAAATAAATGATAATATTTATTTTTACATATACCGACGTTTCGACCTGAAGATCAGGCCTTCATCAGGGCTAAGAAAATAACCAGATAACAAGGTATGAGAAACATAAGTAGTGATGGTAAAAAAAAATAAAAAAATAATAATAAATAAAATAAATAATAAATAAAAAAAAATAAAATGAAATTGTTAGAATAATGACATTAGTAAGAACTAAGAGATAAATAATAATAACCGTTACAAAGTTATTGACTGACCACCCCAATTATTCTTCCCTTCATTATCCACGACAGTCAACTATTTACCAATTATTTGAATATTAAATTAGCACACTAGACTGATGGATAAAAGGGTCCACTATTGGTATTTACAAGTTTTCCTCGTTCTGTTGTCTAAGAAGATGTTGGATGTTCACAAAAAATTTCCGCAAATAAAAATAGCCACATTTAAATATTAAAAAAAATACTATTTTTGATTGATTAATAATATTAATGATGTTTTTTTAAATTAAATAGTGAATTTAATTAATAGGATGTATAAAATGACCGTTTTATAAAATTCAAAATTTCAAAGGTCTGTAAATACTTTAATCCTATTTAATACTTAATAATCCCTTTCCAATATTCTCAAATGTTGTTTAATCCCATTCGACATAGTTTAGTTATTTGATTTAAATAAGAAACATGGAAGTTTCCTGCGAAATTCTAGAATATTAAGGCATTAGTGGAAAAAAATTTCACAGCCACTGAAGCAACAAGTGAAATTATTAAATATAAAGAGAAAGGTGTCCTTTACCAGTGCGCCGCGCGGTGTTGCTTTGAAAAAAATGCTGGTGAAAGATACTCTTAGTCTCTATCTACTCTTCATGGGGTAGGTAAAAAAACGAGCAGGAGACAGGACCCTCACGACTTAGTCCTCAGAAATCAAATCAGCTATGAGATTTGAAATTCGTAAAAATTTATGGAAAACCCCTTCGAACTCCTGCTCGTCCACCATATAGTCCACACCTTGTACCATCGGATTACTTCTTATTTAAATTCATGGCGTATTTTCTGGCTATGGATCTAAGCAAATATTTTATAATTTGTCGGAAGTTAAAAATGGTAGCAGCGTGGGATTGAGCAATCTGCTAAAAGTTGGCTAATGGCGGTTGATAACAATGGACTATACTTTGACTATTAATAAAATTTAAATCAAAGAAATGAGAAATCAAATATTTGGTTTTAAAACGGCCATTTTTTATTTTATATACTCTATTACCTATTTTTCTTATATATATATATATATATCATTTGTTTGGTAGCCTGCGAGTGTAAAAAGGTTGAGAAACGATGATGTAGATTGTGGGGTCCGAAGTAGGCATCATTTGAAGTTAAGAATGGTATCATTTAGTAATTATTTCAACTATGTAAAGCATTTTTATTATGTTTATGGCAGTATATTTGCTCTAAATAGCTAAATACAATTCTGAAAAAAACAAACAAGAAAGAAGATAAGAAATCATAGCTACAATAAATATTTACATTATGTTAGGAAATTCTCGAATGCTTCCTAAAAATATACAATGGATAATATTTTAGAATATTTAAAATCGTTTCCATCTAGGTCACTAAATGATTTGCCTACCCAAGACAAAAAGACTAATCTCTAAAAAGTTGCTGGATCCAGCCATTGTATTTCTTAAGTAGATTCGCTTAAGAACTGGAGGTTTTTTATCCGATGCGGCGGCCATTTACTCTCAACTTGGGCAATTAAAATGTTAAGTGCGCACCCATTTGGACTGGGACCAGGTTGGAGCAGAAATATGGCGCAACTTGACTCCTGGCCTAAGAGTTGGCTTCGGCCAAACTTATGCCTAGAAATATTAGTCGTTATAGGGGTCAGAGAGTTCGTTGTGGGTTCGAGTCGCACGCGAATCGAAATGAATGTTATCGCGATCTCGATAAAGGATTAAGACTCCGAACATTTTGCTCGGTAATAATTTTTCATATTTGATTTCTTGCTTATTGCTACAATGGAACATTCATTATTTGTCGGATTCGATATCCCACCAAGTTATTTTTTTATAACTAGCATGGTTAATACTAGGTTCATTTTGGATATTCTGCACATAGAAACTTCCTTTTTTATTGAAAAAAGAAGTATGTATATATAACGATCCGAGAAACAGCATCAAACGTTTTTGAAATGAATTAATAGCACTCAAGAGAAATAGTAACCATTAATCCTATATATTATTTCTGAAAGGTGTTTTTTTTTTTGTCAGTACGCATAACTTCGTCAATTCTTCATCAAATCTAATTATTGATCACTCATAGTGAAGATATTCTTCTCCTTCACATGCGAATTATTCGCATGGGCCAACTAGTAAAATAATAATAATAATAAATAGCAATTCATTGAAATTTTCATAGAAATCAGTAATCTTGCATGATTTTATATCAATGAAAACAACTTGAATACTGGTTATATTTATCAAGAAAAATAATACTATAATAATAAGCTTCATCTTATCGTAACCTAGAACTATTTTATTTACGAAAATTCTCGAATTGGGGCATTTTCAATCTGGAGGTTGGCAAACGTTCTCTGTTTAATTAGGCACTAAAAACTCGTAAATACCAATTTGCTTCCTCCTTGAATCGTAAACTTGAACACAAGGTCGATAAAAAAGGTAACCTTCAAAAATATTTTGGCGTGACCTATAACTCCAAATAATCCAAATAACGAGGTTATATAGCCCAAACGGCACAATATTTTTGTACGCCACCTTATTTTTCGACTTTATGTTCAAGTTTTCTTACGATTCAAGTGGAAATCAAATCGGGATTTAAGAGTTTTTATTACCTAATTAAATAGAGAACGTTTGCCAACCTCCAGATTGAAAACGTCCCCATCCCGAGAATAATTATAAATAAAATATTTGTAGGTTACGATAAGATGAAGCTATTTTACGAAGTTTCAGCTATTTACGAAGTTTCAGCAGGATGTTAATAATTTGATAAAGAGGGGTCTGTATCACGGACTATACGTAGTCGTTAACTGTTGCTATCTTTGTGACGTATCATGGAGCTTTAGTTATTGTTCTATACATTTTAAACTGAAACGTTTAGTAGCTTTAGTGTATCTGTGAAGCGCGGGTCAAAATGGGCTAAAGTACATAATTTTTAAGTATTCTAGCTTTAATTTTGAAAGAATGAGTATAATAGTAGTAGTCTGAGGTTTATTTAATTTTTTGATAAATCGGCCACATGTCATTCTTCTTCGGTTCGAGACGGCAAGATCAATATGGTAGAACTGTACAATAGGTATTTCTGCTATGACTGTTATTTTTGCTTTAAACTATGAATAAGATTGATGGATTTCTTGATGGAAGTTGGGACAGTTTCAATTACCCGAGCTGAAGTGAAGCTGAGACAGTGAGATAGCATTAATGAGGAGCCTATTTATCTGAAGGCTATCCTAGCTCCTTTGTCCCCGGCACACACATCTGCTTGCTCTGATAACATTGTCGTCGGTCTCTTCCTTCGGGGCAGCCTCTCATGCCTTGGTGGCTTCTCTCTCACTCTCTGTCTCTCTCTCTCTCTCTCTCTCTCTCTCTCTCTCTCTCTCTCTCTCTCTCTCTCTCTCTCTCTCTCTCTCTCTCTCTCTCCTCTCTCTCTCTCTCTCTCTCTCTCTCTCTCTCTCTCTCTCTCTCTCTCTCTCTCTCTCTCTCTCTCTCTCTCTCTCTCTCCCTCCCTCCTCTCCCTCTCTCTCTCTCTCTCTCTCTCTCTCTCTCTCTCTCTCTCTCTCTCTCTCTCTCTCTCTCTCTCTCTCTCTCTCTCTCTCTCTCTCTCTCTCTCTCTCTCTCTCTCTCTCTCCTCTCTCTCTCTCTCTCTCTCTCTCTCTCTCTCTCTCTCTCTCTCTCTCTCTCTCTCTCTCTCTCTCTCTCTCTCTCTCTCTCTCTCTCTCTCTCTCTCTCTCTCTCTCTCTCTCTCTCTCTCTCTCTCTCTCTCTCTTTTTCTCTCTTCTATAGAGTTCTAGAATAACTCCTCTTCTCTAGTTAACTCACTAACTCTGTTCGAAAATTAAACAGTTGGCTCAGATCAAAATTATGGCTAAATGTTCAAACTAAATATTTTATAAATTAAAATTCATAAAAAAAAAAATATTGATATTTTATGGAACCATTTATTCTTTATTCAATAATGGAGAGTAGTGTTATCATATCAGACGCTACTGATTTATTCAAACCCAAGTGTTTGGAGGCTATTTACAGTCACCAACTCATAGAAGACCCTTATTTATTTTATTGTTGTGTAAAATGTAAGTAAAACCATGTCACCCTTTTAAAACGTCATATTTTGTTCATTGGTATTATAACCTTTCGGGCTAATCCGAAGCAAACGAATTAAATTAAACCCTCTTAGATACCGACAGATCTAACAGTGGTTTCGAAATATGAAGATAAGAAAATACATAAGATCAAAATTATAATCATTAACTTACACTAAATGTTTGTGAAAAAAAAAAATCTTTTTTTCAGAAATGCCCCGGTACGATTAGTTTCTCAAGATATGAAGACAAGGAAGTTAAGATGGGACATTTAGCTCCGACCAATTCATCAGGAAGCCTCTAATCAACAAAGAATGATTTGAATACTATACGATTGAATACTATTTGAATACTATGCGATTACACGGAAAGCCAAAAACCTAGATGGGTTGATCGAATCAACGAAGATGCAATAGAGCTGAATGCAGATAACTGGAAAGAAATGGACCAAGACAGGAAGAGATGGAGAAGCAGGTTAAGGCAAAAGATCTACGAGGTCTGTAGAGGAAACAGAAAAAAAAATATGTTTTAGACATCAACATTTCAAAGCTGTATGATGGACAAATCACCTGATGCCGTGATGGTCTCATATAGTTCTTTATAAAAAACATTACCACGTACCATAGGTGGGGAACCCCAGCTTTGGAGGCCGCATATGGCCTCTGTGACGTAGTTGCGGCCTCGGAAGCCACATGCGGCCACCAAATGTTTTTGTGCGATATTTATGAATCTAGTGCAAGAATTAATTAATATTTAATTATTTAAATAACGACAATTTGGAAATTGATACAATTAAGTTGAATGTATCCATGTGTGTGTATTAATGATAAATAAAAACAGAAACAGTAAAATATAATGAATTGTTGTGGCCTTCATTAGCACTGAATAACCTTATTGCGGCAGGTAATGATAAAAAGGTTCCCCACTTATGCCATATAATATCCACTACTTCAGATATGCGTAAATATATATTCTTAAGCACGTCTATATTTCAAAAATGGTTCATTCGATATAAGAAGAACGTTTGAACAGAGGTTAGTCAGGTAATTCTGAAATATTATTAAGTAAGTATATTTATGAAGTTTCTTTGTACCCAATATCATAACATCTACTGCAATTGCTTGTGGATGAGTATATATTTCAAAAACGACTCGTTTGATTTGGCGTCAAGTTAGATTAATTTTGAGGAATAGTACATTAATTGCCCAAATTGGCATTTACTTTATCAAATCACATCGCCCAATTAAGATTATTATAATTGCTTTCATGAAATTTGTAATGTAATATGACTGTGATATATGTTAGGCAGTAACCATAAAGTGATAGGAGATTATATAAGTTTTGTAACTTCTAAGTCTTTCTGTAATGTAAATCTATGAAAGGCATAACATGTTATGTAAATTATAACACTCGCTATCTTTGTTTCTATTTAATCAATTTTTTATGAATTGCGAGATATCAAACCTAGTTAGATCGATATCGAATTTATCAGGTTCCGTCCACTTCTGTCGCTTAAGCCAGCGTTTTTTCTTGACAAGAGAACAATTCTTAACCGGATTCTGAACTAGATTTCCTTCTCAAACGACCAATCATAGGGATCAAAATATGCGTGATTTTTTAACCAATAAAGAGGAGAGGAAGCTGTACTGATGGCTTGACATTTAAATTTTATTTAACTAATAAAAGTTAATATTTAAAAAAACACCCTTAATTGATGTCTTAATTAGATAGTTAACCTAAATTGCTGGGCCCAATCTACGCGTAACACCCAAGCATCCTCAGTAGGGTAATTTTGTTAAATATTAAGTGGCTCCAATTAGTCTTTTAATCTTAGAAAACAAATCTGAAAACCATTCCATTACTTTTCATTCTTAAATCTAACCAGATAATTCTCTTCATTCAACAATCCATAATTAATCGTTATATATAAATATTGCTTTTTATGTATCCATAATTGCATATTTATGCCACTATTATTTAAAACCAATTTATTAATATTTATACTAATGTTCTGTATAATATTGTGATCATTTTTCTGCTGGGCCGAAAGAATTTTAAACAAAGCGCTCAATATATTCTGTTTTAAATAAAATAATATTCGTCTCGAATATATATCACTCCAGTTTTACATTTGAAATAAATTCGTTTCATTCCAACGTTTCCTCATACAATAATAAACTAGCTATAGATTGGATTTCATTTGATCCATTGACGAGGTTTTATGTCTAAACTTGATGAACATTAAGATGGGTAGTATATATATTAAATAAAATCTTAAAATCTAAGGTTATATGATCAAATTCGCATTTAAAATTAATGTTCTTATCCTCCATTTTATTTGTCAACAATTACAATATAAGTACACGCAATATATAGATATATATCTTGTTGGTTTGTTCTTACGCTGCCCAATGGCATTTTTAAACCAATATTAGAATTTTTTAAACCAGTTTTTAAGTTAAAATTAAACCTATATCATAATGTTCTATCTTGAAATTATACGAAATGTGTAATATATATATATATATATATATATATATATATATATATATATATATATATATATATATATATATATATATATATTATAAAAATAAAAAGTAATAATATATTTACTTTATTTGAATATTTTAAATTTCATCTAGAATCAAAAAGAAAAGGAAAGAGCTAAAGAAATACGAGATACGAAAGCATTTTCTTAATATGAACAAATGAATTGTTTCTAAATTTCATTTTGGAAAAAAAAACATGAAAAAAAATTATCCACTTTTCCTTATACGCCATCTAGTTGTTTTGATCATAACTACAGATTTAATTAAAATCTCGATAAAAACAATGCTTATAAATCAGAATTTATCAACTAACTGTTTGATAAAAAAATATAAGTTAAACCAAGATCAAATTGAGTAAAGCAACCAAGCCCCGATTTTCGGTAACTTTAGCTTTCTTGGAAGATAACATTTACTCCCCTCCTTTTTCAGTCCCCACTACAAGAATTACGATAATTTGCAAATTCAAGTACATTTGTTATTAATTTTAAACCGATATCTGCAACTTAATTTATGTAATTTATACAATTAAACATGCATATTTTTAAACATTATGACTGACCTTTTTCCTAACTAAGCCCGAATAAAAAATTAGAGGAGTTAAATGCCAAAGTATATTGGTCATACTAATTATTAAAATATAGTGACCAAGATTGTCAAGTATTAGTAACTATTTTGCCTTAATTTTTATTTTAAAAAATCGTTGTTTTTTACTAGTCCCGGTCTTGGTCTTGCAACAGTTACGTGGCCTTGGTATTGGTATTGTAAAGTGCAACATCAAGACCAATTTCGGGCAGCACTAATGCCTACTATTATTGTTTCTATAGAGCTTTTGAAATCAGTGTGTTTCATACATTCCTACTAACAATTTTTTTAAGAGTAAATTGATTTATGTTATCTTATTTTGAATGTTGATTTATTATGAACATTTATGTTATCATATTTTTATAGTTAAATAAAAAACCATTTTTATCATTTTTCTGAGGTATGTTTATTACTGGTAAGGAACCTGTGTCCATTACTAGAACAATTGAAATTCGTGGTGTCCCTCACTAAATTTAGATTATACCTGCATAACGGAATATTTTTCAATTTTAAAGAGCTAAATATAAAAATGAAACAATCGAGATTCTAAATGTCCAACGGAGAAGTTTATAACTATGATAATTACAGCGGCATAAGCCAAAAAAGACAAAAATTTCCTATGCTATTTCCATCACTGGTGCGATAACCCTACTAATGTATAATAAAGTTCTGAAGATGGCGATCGCTTTCCAAAATCTTAACTACAAGTTATTATAACGAATAAACATTCTGTACACTTTCATGGACGTTTTCATTGCAAACATCTGAACAAAATGAAAGAAACTTCCTAACAATAAAAGAAATGAAGCAACTATTCTGAATTTAATGAACGAAATATTATTAAAAATTGAAATAAGGTAAGATTTCTAGCAACAACCTGGAAATTATTTATTTATTGCTAGTAATAATTCATTGTAGAAAAGATAATTAATAAAACAACGACTGTGTCACAAGAGAGCGAAAATAATTTCATAATCTATAACACAAAGGCATGTATTAGACAATTAAATTTTAAAAATGTGCTTTGACATAACACGATGAAAATCACAGTTCACGTCCAAAGAGAAAAAAACAAACGAAGACTTTGAGAAAGAATGCCATAAAAATCCGAACATGCCAATTACAGAGAAATAGGGGTTCCTAACTCTGTGGTTTCTACGTCATTAGGCCATGTAACTTATTATTTACAGATTTTATTCGACAAGAAAAATATAAATAACTTATTATTATTATTACATATATGTTTTACCAGTATACCTATTATTTTTATCAGTACTTCTACATTTATATTAAGGAAAGAGAACACATATTGTAATCTCATAAAAATAGACCCTGATGTAGAATTCAATACGAAGGAATTCTGATTCAGACTTCACACCGAGCACTTCTCTTAGTGCTTAATTAAATTGTTTAATAAGAGGAAATTGCTTTCAGTGAATTCACCTTTTGCAATTCAAATTACCCTGCATAGTTCCCTGCTGAGATTATAAGACCACAAAGTTGAGTATGTATCATCTCAAAGTTAAATACTCCATGGAATCTCACTCCATTTTAAGCTACGACACCGACGGATTCCGAAAAAGTTGCTTCGTTCCATCAGGTTCCAAACTTTTGACCATCATTGTAAAGTTAGTGTTATTTCCAAGACATGTTGAGATTGGGAAGTAAAAAAATAAAAATAATAGTAATAATATAAAATAAAAATAAATCACATCAATACGAGTACCTATGATTTTATTTGATTACATGATATGACGGATACAAGAATCTGAACATTATATATACATCAAACAAAAAGACCGGTGTTTTCGATGACCTCTAAGATGGTCAAAACGAAAAATTGATATGAACATGAAGCCCACAACTCTGTTTAAAGTAATATTTTTACTTTGATTGGCATATATTTAAGTTAACATTTCTTTTTCATTTGTCAAAAATCCTTTAAAGTTATCCATTAGTATGATTTTTCCAAAAAACAAACTTTTACAATTTCCAACAAAGGTGATATAGGGTGAAACTCCCTGTTTTCGGCACCCACTGCATTTATTTTTTAAATGTTATTTAATTGAGAAATAATAAATTTTGTCTCAATTAATGGAAATGAGTATTAGAGCTCTGGGAGACTCATTCATACCATATAGACAACAACAAAAACAATAGAAAAATTATAACGAAAGAAAAGAAAAAGAAAACTTAGTAAAACAGAAGAAATGAAACACGAGATAACAATAAGTAAATATATAAAAACATATTATCCATAAGAAGAGAAATGGTCTTACACTTCCCATGGTGATAAACTCAACTGAGAAGCGGGGTTCACTATCTAATCCCACATCACCCACCATGAATTTTTATTCTTTGCTATTTTACCATGTTGAGCCTGCCTCTTGTTTGAATGAAATGGTCTATCTATTCAGTTGTCTTCCTGGTTCCTGCAATAGGGTGTCCACTCATCGGTGAATCTCAACAGATGACCTGTCCACTTCCATTTCATTTTCTTTTCTTAATATGGAAAAATCTCTGAACCCTGTTTTCTTTTGAATATCAATGCATTTTAACCTTGCCTTTCTTTTGATGTTTATCGTGCTTCTCTCTACATAATTTTGCCAGACTGTTATTTTCTTTTCTTTATATATTGATTGATATATAATGTTCTTCTTGTCAAAGAAAATAATGGTGACATGGCAGATTGGCCCTCCTTGCATAAAGCCCTCTGATTTGTATTGAACATAGCAAATAAGTTTTTTAAATTATTATTTGTCGAAAACAAAGTTGAATGAAACCGACTTCTGACATCAAAGGTGTTACTAGTTATTGTAAAGTAATAAGTTAAAGTTAAGTACCAATAAGACCATCCTTGCCCCACCCTGAATTTTTGCTATAAAATCTCCTGAGAAGTAAGAAAAGAGGTCTCATGTTGATTTTCGGCCTTGAGAGGTCGATAATGATTAATCCTTCGTAAATATTTATTCAGATGGCAACACTAGCGTCATTAAATCAATTATAGTTTGAAATTATGTCACTCCTTTATAAGAATCTCAAGTTAAATCGAATGAATTATCCCCTCCCAAAGACGAATCATATTAGACAGAATAGAGCAGGGGGCAATACAATTCTCTGGAGACTGGAGCACAATGCTCGGGAGAACTATCCCAAGGGAGGGACATCTGAATTATTGGTGCTCATCAAAGTGTGAGAGGTCCTCAGGCACCAAATAGCAAAGAGGAAGGACCGTCACTGTCAGATCGGGCTGTGTCATTCCAGGTCTAGGACTGTCAGTATTTATCTATTGACAAAGACGACCGCGTCTTTTCTGGTTAACTTGAGGAGCTCTTGTGAAGCGATGGGGGACCTTCCGATAAAACAGGAACAACAAATTGAATTGGAGTTATAAGATTGCCTTCCTTTATTTTTTATAGGTTTGTTACTTTATTATTATTTATAGGTTTTATTCATTCTCTTTGCATTAACGCATAGTCCATGATACAGACAACTTTTTATCAAATTATTAACATCCGTCTAAAACTTCTAGAATGGCTTTGTCTTATAGCAAACCACATTTTTTTTTTTTTACCAAACCAAATTGTTTACCTAGAAAAATAAAAAAAAATTACCTAGAAATGAATTTTGACATTTTCTCATTTAATTAATTAATTTAATTAGGTATCGAAAAATCATAAATACTCATTTGCTTTCCACATGAAACGTAAGATAATTTGATCACGAAATCGAGAAAAAACGTGGACTACAAAATATTAGACCGTTTGGTCTATATAACCTAGTTATTTTGACATGTTGGGGGTGTAAGATTATACCGAACTTCCTTATATTTTTGTAGACCACCTTTTTTTTCCATGACACAAGTAGATGGTTATTTATAAGTTTTTAGTTAATTAATTAATTTAATGAGAAAATTCACTAATCCCGATAATTTTCGAAAATAAAAAAAAGTTGTCGGTTACGATGTGATTGAGCTATTCACGATGTTTTAGGCAGGTGTTAATAATTTCTGAGTCTGTAAGCCTAACATAAGATTATATAACATTACCAATTAACTATTTTTTAATTAATAATAGTATTAATTAATTAATACCTGAATGTCATAAAGATTCTTATGTGATAAAAATCGCAATCAATGTTTGTTATTTGAGTATACCATAATATTTCTAATCCATTTTCTCAATATGGCTATTGAATTATAATAAATGTTTCTATAAATCTTTTTATTCTTTTTTTTTATAACAGAAATTAATTAAAAAAGTATAAAGCTCTTTAATATCTTAACAGAGCTATTATTTCTCAAAGAAAATTCTAAAATATTTTTATTTTTATTCAATTTGATCAAAAATATTTTGTATTTTTTTTAAAATAAATTTTCTGATTGCATAACTTATCAAACTATTAAGGCAATAGAGGATGTGTAATGTAATATAATTATCTTTTTATGTTGCTTTAAGTAAACAACTGATTTTCAGGTATAGTTATCATATTGATTATTGATGTAAATATTTCTCTTAGGGATTTCGATTAATATCTCCTGGCTCGTAGATATTTAAAAAGTTAATACTCAAAGATGCTGTTAAAACTCAAATGAAATGTTATTTGAAAAAAAAAATTAAAAAATTTTATTTACAAATGTTAGAATATTCTATGTTAGTACCAGTATGAAGAAGCAGACGTTGGTCTCAACTGGTATGAAAAGTATCAATTACCAAAAAAAACAGACGATTATTTCAATTAAAATTTATAAAAGACAGAATTATAAACATACTGGATATCATAGTGCATAGGTGGGAAACCGCGGTCTCGGAACCCGCATGTGGCCTATGTGACGTAATTGCGGCCCTGGAGAACACATCAGCTTCCAAACGTTTTTTCACGATATTTATTGATCTAATGCTAGAACTAATAATTATTTAATTATTAAAACAATGACGATTCGGAAATTAATATAATTGAGTTTAATTAATTCATGTATGTGGGCGAGTGTATTTAGTGATAAATAAAAAATAGAAACGGTAAAATGTAAAGAATTCTAGCGGCATACATTAGCACTTCCTAAATTTACTGCGGTCTATAATGATTAAAATGACCCTCCTCCCCTCTCCTCCACCTATGCCATAGTCTAATATACTATATCCATCAATTTATGAGCAGCCTAAATTCATTTAATTTTTTTAAAAATTCATTTCACACTGCGTTTTAAATGAGGTCAATAGATCAATTTGTATGACAATCTGTAAACAAGATATAAAAAAAAAATAATAATACAGCTTACAGCCTTCCCATTATCTGATATGACATAAATTATTTAAAACATCACTAAAACTATCTCTTTGACCCCTGTCAAACTGAAGATGCAAGACGCAAGATGCATGGGTCCTGTATGCAGGATGCATCTTCTGTTTTTATCCATTATCGCTGTAAGTTTAATACGTGAGTCTTGAAAGATGAATAATCAATCATCTCACTCTTCAGACGACGAAATTGTAATTTTAATAGTATTTTTTTAATAGTAATTGATATTGAGATAAGTTTTTTTTTTTTTTTTGCTAACCCAAAGAAACTATAAGTGCGTAGTTCTTTACCTGTTTATTCGAATTTTCGTGCCAGGATCTTCCATGATTTCTCTTGTTCATCTCTGTTTTACTTTTAGCATCATATATTGCAGCATTGTCATCGACTGCTTTAACAAAAGTCACATTGAAGTTCTCTGTGTCAGGTAACTTAGTTGAAGGCTGGATGGAAGTTTCGTACTTGGAACACACTGCCTAATTGCAATATGAAATGAAACTAAAAAGAAACTGTGAGAGTCGGTTGAGTCCGTAGATTCTAGGAGCTCGTGGTTCATAATAAATATTTATCAACAAGCAAGGCTTAAAAATGGATGAGTTAAGACATGGCAACATTGATTATATACGAAGTGATAAAAACGAATGGATGATAAAGTACACAATATGATTAACTGTATTTATATTTTGCTTCTTTTTTTTTTTTTTTTTTGTTAGTAACGATTATTGCAATTTCGGTATATAATTTTAATCTTCAATGGTGATAAGAAGAAAAATAGGTAAAAGCATATGGAGCGATAGTTAAAAATCAGAGCAATTGATAAAAAAAACTTATAATTAAAAAAACCAATGGATTAAAAAAAAAACAATAGTTGATAATAAAAAAGCAATTGATGAAGACGTTTAAATTATAACTTATAAAATGAGAAGGAGTTGATCGGGCGGGGGGAGGTGATGTCAAATAAATACTAAATTATAGAAATAGTATTAATTAATTATTATGCCGATGTTTCGATCCATCTTGCAACTTTGTCGGCATAATAATTAAATGATACTATTTCTATAACTTAGTATTTATTTGACCGCAACCCCCGATCAAATCCTTCTCATATTATATCACGGTCAACCATCCCTATATCATTATAAAACTTATAAAAATCAGATATTTTGAAAATAATCGGTGGTGTCATCGAACCGTGTTCCTAACAAGACACTATAATATTTTACTAAAATGTATGAGGAAAAAAAGTTATAAAACAGTAAATCTACCCATTAAGCCACGCTATCAGGATCGATCTTCTGCGAACAGGAACATTTCCTGATCGTGTTGTAAAAGTTCTTAGGAAGGGCTGCCGCTACAGAAGGTAGCCGGCCGGTAAATTGGAGACTGGATTACGGGAGCCAGTGGGGCCAAATTGGGATGGGGCCTGTTTCCTCCACAGCCTAGGGGCAATCTTTTGTATTATATATCGTCTTATAGGATAATATCCTCCACCATATTTCCAGATACGAGCTCCATTACGGAGCTTCAAGGATTATCTTATATCAAGTCATAATAAAAAAAAGTAATAATAATAAACCTGCGACTGATTTTACGAATCCATGATTACCGACTGTTGTTATAAAAAGTATATGCTAGTAAGAAATTCGCAGGGTTGATGTCCCACATAATTTATTGAACGCATCTACTAAATATTATACGAATAAAAATTATTAAAAAAATATATAATAATTATTATCAAGCGATAAAATTAAAGTAAAAAATAACTCGCAATTATTGAATATTTAATAGTTGACCGTTGCATTACAAAGGAATGAGATGGTTCGGGGTGGCGGTCATAAATAGGCTAAATAGTGGCAAAACTATTTTATTGAAAGCCAATCTTTCGCCCCGACTTTGTAGGTCTTCTTCAGGGCAAGAACGGACAAGATACAAATAGATAGAGAATTGTGGAAGTTACATAATATTCAGACAAAATTATAAACAATGTGAATAAGCTTATAAAAATTATAAACAGTAAGTACATTAAAATAAAAACAGAGTAAGCTAAGTAACAGATCCTAAACTGAAGTAAATAGATGGTAACAATTGTTGTAGTTTAATATATATTATATGCAAATGTGAATATTATTCTACAGATCTACAGGAGAGATAGAAAGAAAAGAAAAGGGATATAATATGAAATAATAGACATAAAGGAATGTGGAGAAAGAAAAGAAAAAATAAAGACAAAAAATTAAATAAATAAGTAAATAAAATTAGAGACTTCCAGGTGTGTTCAGCTAGGATTTAATGCACTTACTGTTTATAATTTTAATAAGCTTATTCACATTGCTTATACTTTTGTCTAAATATTATGTAACTCTCACAATTCTCTATCTTTTTGTATCTTGTCCGTTCTAGCCCTGAAGAAGACCTGCAAAGTCGGATCGAAACTTTGGCTTTCAATAAAATAGTTTTACCACTATTTAGCCTATGGCCGTCACCCCGGACCATCTCCTTCCTTTAACTACTAACCATGTTCGCTCTTAATTTTTTCCCTCAAAACTTTCCTATAGTTAGCTTCAAATTTTAAATAGTGATTTGGAAATAGTTCGATTTGATTAATTATATTAAAAAAAAACTATAAAACGAATTGGTCAATTAGCTATTTTTTTTTTATTTGTACGATATGCTGATAAATAAACTGCCGATCAACCTAATACAGATCCATAAAATTAATAATGTTCCTGGATCAACTTTTTGATATTTATATAAAAAGTTCATTTATTTTCAAACAAATATTTCTGCTTCGGAGGTAAAAGATAACATTTTTTTATTAAGTAAAAAGTTATTATTTATTTATTTTTTTAAAATTTATTTATTGAGTATTACAACAATCTGTCACATGGACACTAGTTATAGTGAGGTAGAATAACATTCACACTATATGTACACAAAATATAAAAGAATTAGAAACAAAATAACGATAAATAATAATCAGAAAGTATATAAAATAAATAAAATAAAATAACATAAAAATAAGAAAATTAAAACTAAGCAAAAAACACATGCATATCTATATACACTAAAATTTATTATTAAGAAAGAATTTTTAATAAACGGAAGTCATGGAAAATCTGTTCTCCGAACAACTACAAAACTGTGACAGGGGTTCTTTCCCTCAAAATTAGAAATTTTGTTACTAAAAGACAAATTTTAATAGATCGGAGTTAAATGGAAAATAGGCTCCACTAAAAAAATGTTCACTGCTGTTATTCTTTACCTCTGGGGATACAGATTTAGTCATTTTTTTCTTTATCCAGTCATGTTTTAATGCATGAATGAAATGAATAGCTCAGTTTGTATGAAATGAATGAATGAATGAAAAAATAATTTTATTCTGGGACTACAGTCCCCTAAGAATAATAACAGTGTAACAAATTTATGGGAATTAATCTGGCTTAAAATATTAAAAAATACAAACTAATCAACAGAAGTTGTTTGAAGGAATTTGTGAACGAGGATTGACGTATGGAGGTAGGAAGAGATTTCCAAAAGGAGGTAGCACGAATGACGAAGGATTTGCTAAAGGAAGTAGTTTTATTTGAATGGATATATAAATCTATAGGTTGAGACCTAGTATTAAGAGAGTGGGTAGAGGAGCGTAGAGTAAGGAGTTCCAGGATGTAGGGAGGGTTTTTGGTAAGGAGAATTTGGAAAAAAAGATGTATCTGTTTCCATACCTTATTTTATCAGTTGAACGTGAGAATGTGCCTAACAAGTAACATTATTAGATGCGTATTTTTCTTTTCTTTTTTTTATCAACTAAATAAAATGAAACATTTTTTAGCTTTAATTTTAAGCAAGATCACGAATTTTTGAGCATCTCTTGATAAAGTTCTGAAATTGTAAAAAAAAAAGTATAAAAAGTGACAGCTATTTAATAAAAACAAATAATCAGAATAAAAACTTTGTTATATACATAATTTCGAAGATGCTAAAAATCAATTAATGCATTTTTGATAGACCAATATTTTATATGGCATATTCTATTATTTTTATTATTAAATAAAACATTATTTAAAAAATAAAAATGTTAATATTCTTCTAAAAAATCAATACATAATTAAGATGCGTAATGTTGCTTCTTCAGTCATGACATAATAGTTTATCACAATATATGTTCCTTCATAATCCGCTACCCTAAATGAAACATTCCTTGGACCTAATAAAAGAAAGCCAATCGAGAGAGCAAACCCTAATAAAAGGGATTGTTCGTGATTGTGCATTACTATAGCCGAAACTTGGCAATCCCAGGTAGTGGTCCCTCAAAGAAAGAGTTCATTTCCCTAAGTGACAGGTTTCTATTGGTGAATCACTAACCACTAAATTGCTAGTTGTTAAAAAAAAAATCCGAGAGGGTGTGCCGTTTTGACCTCGATTTCAGGATATTAAGGATTTTCGTCTTAAAATAGATCGAAGGTTATTCTGAGAAAAGATCTGACTGATAAAACAAGTCTAAAAGATATTATATTTATTAAAATTATGAATATTAGTTTGTCAAAATGTTCACGCTGTATAACGATCATTATCGAAATATTATAAGTTAATCTACTAGCGGAATAAGTCACAACAGCACCCAGTCTCCCCTACTCTCATCAATTACTTTATGAATATAATAAAATAGAAGAAAATCACAATTAATGTAGTTATAACAAAAAAATAAATAAATAAATATATATGTATATATATATATATATATATATATATATATATATATATATATATATATATATATATATGGGGCCGGGGTAGCCATGCTGGCTAAGGCGCTTGCAATAGGCAACCAAGTTAAGCAACGCCGAGCGTGGTTAGCACTTGGATAGGTGACCGCCCGATTCGGGTGGCCGTCCACCAGGAAAAGCCACGCTGCCCGAGACCCCTCCCCCCGAGTATGTGGGGCCTGTCAGCCTACTGTAGTCAACTCTCACCGACCAGGTGTAGGACTGATGACCCTACCCCCACGTACGTAAATCAGGAATCGGGATGTGGCCTAGGACATCACGTCTCGCGGTCAAAGATTTGCGCGGTCTGTAGCGCATACCGAAAAAAAGTATATATATATATGTATTAGTTAGTTGGGCTTTGGGGCTCCACTAAACCATCGTATTCCTCTCGTATCCAATCCTTACAATCCAAAATCCTTCTTAAAATCCTTTTTAACATCAATAATCTATCCTTTGCAATCAATAAAATAATCCATAAAGACCTTAATGCTTCATATATTTCGGATTTGGCTCATCCTTTTATGACAAACTTCATAACCATCCGAATCCTCTTGTTTCTAACCTTGCTTCATTCCCTGATTTCGATCCCTGATAACCGTCCGAGGGGTCTGAAAAGATGATGGCCTAGTGATGGGTGGTTTCTCAACAAGTTTCTCTTCGCACGTCATAGTGTTACACATTTACTAGATATATATTTGTTTTTATATCAA